GACAACGGCGGCGGATACGGCAACAACAATCGCCGGGGCTACGGTGATGGTCCTGTTCGCGACAGCGGCTACGGCAGCCCATCTTGGGACCGTGGTGGCGACCGCGATCGGGACCGGTACGACCGCGACCGTGATGATGGCTACGGCCGTAACGGCGGTGGTGGCGGCGGCTACGGTGCACCCCGGCGCTCGGCAACGACCAACTCGTGGCGCGACGACGTATATGACGACCCGGGCTCGCGCGGCTTCAACAACAACTCGCGCTCCAACACGTACAACGACAGCAAGCCAGATTCGCGATCGGGCCCTGGCCGGCCTGCAGCGCCCAAGCCCAACTTTGCCAGCAAGCAGAACCTACTTAAGAAGAACGAGGCTGTGGCCCTGTTCACGTTCGAGGCAGACCAGCCGGGCGATCTGGCATTCAAGAAGGGCGATGTTATCACGGTGCTGAAGAAGACGGAGAGCGACAACGACTGGTGGTATGTATTAGCTGCTTTCTTCCCCCCCCCCCCGGTCGTGCGAAGCGTATGGCTACCACACGGTGCGACATGGGCTAACTCTGAACAGGACAGGAATGATTGGCACAAGACACGGCATCTTCCCCAGCAATTATGTTAAGATGAAGGAGTAAATCCGAGCTTGGACCCTGACACCGAAGACTATATCGCTCAGCGGCGGGGCGATTTACAAACGACACGAGAAAGGGCAGACAAAAGTGCTTGATGTGCTGCTTACGACTGCGAGTTGTTGACATTCTGATGGGAAACGGTTATGGGACCCAATTTGTGGGACTTTGATTTTACCCTTTGACGTCTTTCATGTTTTTACTTTTTGGTTTTTTTGGTTTTCACATTCCGCCTATTGTATTTCTTTTACGGTTGTTGAGAATTTTTTTATTTTGAATCTGCTGTTCTTACTCTTAAGAGTTTAACCTGGACTGCTTTTGTCTCCTTTAGTTAAACTTTCATCGGTACTCATTTTTATGATTTTATTTTACCTTTCCATGTTGCCTTTTTTGCCTCTTCGAGCCTCTTGGATGTCAAGACGTATCGTTTGTGACGGCTTATTTTGATATTACCTTTATTCTTCCCCAAAGATCCTTTACAGCTTTATCAATCTCAGCCTCCGAGACACTTCCCCTCTGCATATGAACGTTCTACGACCTGCTCACGTTAAGAATCCTTCATCCTACGGACGGTTACCGCCAACGTAGTTGGCGCTTGGATCGTTGTCCGCTTTGACCAGCGTCTGCTCAACAATGGCACCCGGTGGCGCATACCCGCCCAAGTTTGTCACAGCCGCCGCCACATTGCGCCAAAAGTGGCAGGGCGTCTTCTCATTCTGCGTGTCGTTGATTATGCTGAACCGAAAGTCGCCCATATTGAGCACGCCCATGATCTGCTCGCCACTCGAATTGCTCACCGGGTGGTCCCATTGGATCGTGCTTGGGAAGTTATCGACGACGCGATGCGCGTTGGGATTGCCCGCCGTTGCGAACGACGCGAAGTAGCTCTGCAACGCTGTGCTGAAACCAAACAACAAAATGCCTGCGGCCGGCATCAGCAGTTCCAGGATGTCCTTGAGTACATCGCTGGACAGATCGACACGCGCGCGCGCGTTGAAAAACATGGGCAGGAGGTCTGTGCCGTGCCAGCCGGGCGTGACCGAGTACTGCATATTCCAGACTCTGTTGTCGCCGACGCCCTCGTTGAGGTGGCGCACGTTGCAGGTGAAGCAGCTGTCGCGCAAAAACGCTTCATAGCGGGTGGACTCGCTGCTATAGACGGGCGTACCGGTGGTGTTGTCCACGGGTGGATAAAACTCGAGAATCTTCTCCACGACGTTTGAGTGCGTGTAGTTGGGAAAGGTACCACGGAGAAAGTCGGCAAAGAGCGCGTCCGTGGAGTCACGTCCGGTCACAAACAGCGTCGCTTCTTCGGCACAGTGCGACAGCAAGAACGCCTCGACACCCTTGGCATAGTTGCCCGACGTCAACTCCAGCACGGGCAGCTGCCGGATGAAAGAGCCGTCCGTTGTTGGTCCCACAGCAAAGGACCCGGCTGGTACGGTGTCCATGAGAGCCTTGTTGGCCTTTTGGAGTGCGTCCGGATGCGCGCTTCGCAGACACTGGATGGTCTCCTTTTCACTGCTCGTGCTGCTGGCGTTCCCTCTCTGACCACATCCTGCCAGCTTCGCGAACGCTTGAAATGTCGCCTCGACCGTCCCTGAACGGTCGTACATCCACTGGTACGCCGGCGACTGGAGGATGGCGCGCTTGAACAGCGGATCCAGAGTGCCGCCCCCGGCCACGAGATGGTGCATCAGCGAGCCGGCACCGGCCGACTCGTCCACGGCTATGGCCTGCGTGGGATCACCGCCGAGCAAGGAAATGTGGTCGTGCACCCACTGAAACGCCGCCCGCTGGTCCCACAAACCTGCATTGGGGAGGGCCTCTCGCTCCATGGTGGTACCGGCCAGAAACCCGTACGCCCCGAGGCGGTAGTTCATGGCGACAAAGATGATCTCGCCGCCGGACTGGTTGATGAGGCCGGATCCGTCGTAGAACGGAAAGCCAGGAAGGGCACTGTCCTTGCTACCGAAAACATAGGCACCACCATACAACCAAACGACGACGGGGAGCTTGGACGTGGATGGCGACCTCAGGGCCTTCCCTGGCACAGACACATCAAGAAAGAGGCAGTCTTCGTTGCCAGAGTTAAACAAGGGGACCGGAATGCCAGAAACGCTTAAAACCAAGGACTGATGTAAGTCGATATGGGCAGACACACGGACGCACAGAGAGGAAAGAAATGACTCGGCGACAGGTGCCGCCTCACTTACAGCTGGTCGATTGCGGTCCCCAGGGGAAACCTGTTCCCGGGGCCGAGTACATTCAAGTTCTTGACGGCAGTTTGAACGCATGCGTGGCCAAAGCTTCCATCCTGAAGTGTGCTGTTCTTCAGCGGTGGCACCGGCTTTGCCCAGCGCAGATCACCGACCGGCGGCGCGGCATATCGGATATTGGAAAAGATGTATCTGAGGAATGGCAGTGTGAGAACGAGAGACAAGAGCCATTCAATGATGGGGCTCCTCCGTCACTAGGAAGGAGGATATCTCTCACATGTCTTCGTCAGAGTTGTAACTGGATGCCCTGTACGATGCGTACGGAAGCTTAAGAATGGGCAATGGTGGGGAGTTTGCCTCAGTAGCCTGAGGCCTCGACATGCCAAGGGCGACGAGCGAGAAGAACACGACAAAATGGGTGAGATGGGTCTGCATTTTCGGCAATGTCAGGAATTTGAGAGGCAGGATCTCCAGAAATGGCTATTGAATTTGATGCTGTAGGAAGACCGAGAGCATCGCCAAATGGGGCCGATCCCGACCGTCTGGCTATATATCACTCTTCTGCGATCGAAATTGACACACAAGATACAACATTTCAGCCGCTCGTGGCCGCCCAGAAGCTCGCAGAGACACGCAAGGAGATCAAGTTCTGTTTGCCCCCGCCCATAGGACGGCTCTACAAAAATGACATTTGTACACGAGCGCGGTACAGAGAAACAATCCATGTCCATATATCTGGCGACAAGTTTCCGACTAAATTAAGAAGACTGTGAACACGAGACGCGACCCGCGGAGAAAAGAAACGATGAAGAAATGAGTCGAGCCAAGAAACGCTCCAGTGCCTCGCACGAGGACATGTGCATCCTTCCTCGGTGGATGTCAGCTGGGCCGCAGCAAGACACACAAACACAAAACACGGGCCTAAGACACCATGGCCACAACGCCACACGGTCCAAGACAGTGGGTGAGCGAAAGACGAAGGGGAGCAAGCAACCACAACACAAAGAATAGGGAAAGCACGGCAAAAGAGATATGTTGTCGTCTATTCGGTGTATTCGGCCCTAATTTGTGTGCTATGATGCTGAGCACGAGGCCGGATGTCGACAAATCAGGAGCCTTACACACCTATTGCCGCCATATTGCAGTGCTTGCCGCCGCACGACAAGAAACCTGCTGTCTACCCAATCACGACGCGATAAGCGACCTTTCTGAGCGTCGATATTACGATTCTACGACTGTTCCAAAACTGGAGAGCCGGCCGGTCGGGCGCTTGTTGTGCACTCAATTTTGGAGTACGCATCAAAAGCGAAGACGCAAAAGGGCAAATGGACGACGGACACGACCTTTGGATTTCATGATGTCGCACAAGTGGCAACGCCGAGTGTCCGTGAAAGGCGTCCACAAGATGCAACCACATCGGTCAAGCCTGGCAGTCCGCCCGTGGCAAGATCTACAACAGAATATGATGCCTTTGATTTCATCGATGCTGTTCTTCTGCTGCATCCGTCCTCTCGTCAACTCGAAACAAGCGACGTCAGCCTCGTTGTACTCGCGGCCATCAGAGAAAGGCTGAAAAGAAAAGAATGGAATGGAAGACAAAGTCATAATGATATCAACATCCGGGACGTTCGTTATGCGAACAGAGCAATTTCATCTCGGGCAATTTCTGCTCGTCTCGACGTCACACGAGAGACAGCAAGGTCATGGGTGTGCCGTCTTACACGGTCTTTGTTAGGATGATACATGGCGCATTGCTGGAAGATCTCTTGTCGTTCTCGGCCCGCCTCGACCTTGCATGTGGTCTATGCTTCCTGGCATCCATTGGCAGTGCACGAAAGACGGAAGGATTGCAAGAATACCCGTCGCGGGCTCGCCATTTCCTGGTGCCAACGTTGCAGGCGGCAAGGGGAAGACGCCACAAGCGGCTGCCCATCTTCCGTCGATCTGTGTGAAACACAACGCATCAACCGCATCCATGGCCCATCTGGGAAAGGACAAGTCCGAGCTGGGAAAAGTGGATGAGGCTTGATTCCATTCAATGCATTTGAAGAGACGTTTGTTGACTGTCGCTGCGCTATTGTAAGTTTTCTTTTTTTTCGGCCGACGTTATTTTGATTCTTTTTTTTTTTTTTTTTCTTTTTTTCTTTTCAAACTCTATGTCACTCATTGCCCTTTTTGCCAACCCCAGCAAACCTTCGAGCCGAGTTTCCGTCACTGCAACCTCCGTTCTCCGCGTGACGTCGTTTTTGTCGGGCTTACTCGCTCGCCAGGATCGTTTCGCATCGCTATATATTAAATTTAATCTATTTTCCCCAGCTAGTCGAGCGGCCACTGCCCTTCTCCGTCGATCGCATCAACACGTCAAGCACCTGTTCTCCGCGTCTACACCTAACCACCCCCCACCCCCGGCTCTCTCTCCACAGATTTGGCCTTCCGTCTTTGCCGTGGCTCGCTCCGTTTCTTTGGTGCGCGTATATTGCTTCGATATTGCGATGCCCTCCGAGGCGGAGTCCACCCAGGGTATGGATCCTCAAAAGACGAACGTGTTGTGCAGCAAGGGCAAAAGCCAAGCCGTCCCTAACCCGGATGAGCATGTTTTCGACGATGCATTTGAGGCGTTTTTCATATGATGTCGCGGCTTCGGCGCGGCGCTCGCAACCACTTCCTATGCCATGAATCCCGAGAAGGCAGAGCGAAAAGGGTGGTGTTCTTGAACGTGATGGTGGAGCGTTCACGCCAGGACGAAAAGTATAAAGGCCGACTTGATGACCTCGATTCCTTGGCAATGCGAACCAACAGGCAGACGCAGCATTCGCCAGACTCGAGTCTTCAACCTTGACCCGAATTCTCCAAATCATTCTTTGCTCTTTGTCAACAACTCTTACCCACTAAGCAACAAAATGCGCTTCTTTGCTCCCGTTCTACTCGCCGCTACGGTCGTCGATGCCCACTGTATGCTCTCTCCCCTCCCCACCGGACATGGCTGTCCTTCTGTCCCCTTGCTGACCATTGCTGCGTAGACACCTTCTCGGCCCTGATCGAGGGCGGCCAGTCGTCGGGCGACTGGGTGGCCGTCCGCAAGACAGTCAACTGGCAGAACAACGGCCCTGTCACAGACGTGACGTCCAACGACATCCGCTGCTACGAGCTGAGCCCGGGAACGGGGGCGGCTGAGACGATCAACGTCACGGCGGGCGGGACCATTGCCTTCCAGGCCAACCCCGACATCTACCACCCGGGCCCGCTGGCGTTCTACATGGCCAAGGCGCCCAGCGGACAGACGGCGGCGTCGTTTGACGGTTCGGGTGCGGTGTGGTTCAAGATTTACGAGGAGCAGCCCAGCTTTGGCGGGCAGACGCTGACGTGGTCGAGCAACGGGCTCAAGACGCCGTCCGTGACGATTCCCAAGTGTCTGCCGGACGGCGACTACCTGCTGCGCATCGAGCACATTGGCCTGCACGTGGCGCAGAGCGTGGGTGGCGCGCAGTTTTACATCTCGTGCGGGCAGATTTCGGTGTCGGGCGGCGGCAGCGGCTCGCCAACGGACCTGGTGGCGTTCCCGGGCGCGTACAAGGCGACGGACCCTGGTATCCTGATCAACATCAACTACCCGGTGCCGACATCGTACACGAACCCCGGCCCGGCGGTGTTCACTTGTTAAGCGGTGCAGCGCGGTGTCTTAACCACTCTATTGTATTCCTTTCCCTTTTGCCACCCATATGATGGATCTTTGTGCCAGCGCCATCTGTGTCGCCGTTTTTGGCTACATAGCTTGTCTCTTTCGAATACACTTCTAGACCATTCTCTCCCTTACATGCAGAATGAGTGTGTCCGCTGCGTGCAGATTTCTGTAAAGCGAGTCTGGAACTCAATGGCGTATCGTGCAACGAGACGCGCTTCGGCCTCGTCGTGGTCGTCGGCGCCCAGTGCTTTCGTCATGCTCAAGCACTCCTTGAGCATGCCGTCCTTGAGATTGGCCAGCTCTTGGAAGAGGTCCATGCCTGCCAGGAGAGCGACTTCCGGCTCGACAAAAGGCGCTGCCGTCTGCACTTCCGTGTCGGCCGTGGCGCCTCTGCGACCATGCGCGCTGGCTGACCGCGTGTCCTGGCTCGGTGTCCGCGACAGGTGTCTCGTGACTGACTGTGGCAGTTCTCGTCGCGGCGGCGGCTCGTCCACGTCGTTCGAGGCCGTCCATTGTGACGTCCGACTGAGAGATCGGCTTGCAGGGACGTTGACGGGCGGCGGCTGTCGAGCGTCCTGCATAGGAACATCCGCAGCCGACGACTCGCGACGTAGGAGACTCGGTGAACATGTGGTCTGTGACGCAACAGACGTCTGGCGACGCTTCATTCTGTTAGCATTGGCGAGGTCCGGCGGTGCGTCGGAGTAGGTCCGCTTGAGGGGGCTTTCCAGAGGACCAGTGGAGCGTCTTTCGGCTGGCACGGCTGCCAACGCCGTCGACGCAGCCCGCACAGCCGGCTGAAGGGCCGTCGATGTGCGGGCGATGAGGCTGCTAGAGCGTGCAAGACCCGGCGCAGTTTTGTTTGGAGAACTCCGCTCCTGTGAACCTTGTGAGCTGGCCTGCATTGACACGACAGAGGACGTTCTGCTCAGGGTCGTGCGGCCGTCACGTGTTGGCAAGGAGGTGCATCGAAGGCCGATGCGCATAAACTCGTGGGACGCGGCCTTGAGATCGCCGACACTGAGGAAGCACAGCTTGAGGAGAGATCTCTTCTTCTACCACGTATCTTGTGTTAGATGGGAAGAGTGCTTGTCGACTGTCTGTATGTCTGTTCTCACCCTTTGTGATACACTTTGAGAGGCATGTTGCGAGCCAGTCTGTGTCTGTGACTGAGACATACCACGGCCACTGCCACGTCCGATTCCATAGCGGCCTCCATTCCCGCCTTCGCTCACGGTCGGATCGTCCCCCTCAGAAACGAGCAGCGTGGCCCGTGTTGGCGGTACGATGCGGATTTCGCTGTTGCCGGGATTGAGTTTTGAGGTGTCAATTTCTGTCTTTGGTTGTCAGCTGTGCCTCCCTGATGAGACGGCGAGTGTGACCTACTATCAAAGTCGAGCCCTCGACAATACAGATGCGGTACGACGGCTTTGCCTCGGCTTCGGGCCCTGCGCGCTGTCGATTGGAAGATGGTGCAGACGGAAAGGAAGAAAATGAAGACAACGACGAAGACGTTTGACTGTTGGAAATGCTCTCCAAGTGCAGTGTCACTGGCGCGGTGGCTGTCCGTATGGTTGTCCTTTGCTCAGTGATGGCCTCTTGGAGGACCCACTGGGCGACGAACTGCCGTGCCATGATGCTGATGGTCGGCGAGGAGGTTTGCAAGGTGAGTACAAAGATGATGGAATCAGAAATTGTTTCGGACAAGAAAAGGGGCAGATTCTGGTGTAACTGTTGTTCCTTCTTAATATGGAACGGGGGATGCTCGACACTGCTTCGTGGAAGGTGCGATCAAATCGCAGCATTGCATCTGCAAACGGAAAGAGCTCGTAAACATAAATAAGAGGATATCTTGATACAACTGTATCTCATCAAATACAGGACTGCTCGATGAGACATGTAAGATGTCCATGTAAGTCAATGCGATGGTCAGCCCTAAATGAACTGTTCATACAGTTTATGATTTGTCTGCATGGTGTACGACACTATCTGTACTTTGAGCATTCAGCATAGGCATAGCACTGAATATGCATGTATGCTATTGTATGTTATTATATGAAGTGCACCAACAGTCAACATGCCAACGTCAGGCTCCTCTTCTCACGGAAATGTACTCGTAGTCGTGGATGTTGTTGGCCGTCTTGGATGTCGTCGTGCCATTCAGTCCCTCCGGTCCACGTTAAAGCCACAATTGGTGTGGCGCTAATAGCGGAATGTGATTGGCCAACGCCAGGCCCCGCACGGACCACGCTTGCCTCGAAAAAATAGCAGCCATTTCTCACATTCGCGAATTCTAGCGTCGCCTTGCGGCTGCTGCAGCTGCGCGTCTCCAGCATCCCTTTAACACGCATCCATCTCCAAGCGCAAACGACAGGGCCCATCGCTTCGCGCAACGACGACAAGCACCAGCATCGCGCGTGCAGCACGGCCACCACGCACGGCTGCTTTGTTTTCGATAACGATACGAGTCGACGCGACGATAGCGTCGTCGCCGCCAGAACGCGAAATCGTGGTTTTGAGATCCTCCAGATTTGTCGAGACCGACGAGGCGTTGCTTGGAGCCTCGGTTGCAGAAGCGTCCACACCGGGCGTTTGCGGCGTCCGACGGAGAGAGCACGACGGACGGGGCCGGCTACGCGCAGAGACGCGGCCACGATACATGATACCAAAGGCCAGATATCACAGCAACACATCATCACGACATCACGACATTGACACAACGACAACTTGATCCAATCGAATCGAATCCAAGCTCCATTTCGTCGACCTTCCTCCTCCTCCTCCTCACTCCTACTTCACATTCCCCCCTCCTCCCACCTTCACCCCCCCCCCCTCCGGTGGCCACGATGGCGCCGCAGCCGGGGCACACAATCGACCAGACGCCCGAGTACGTCGAGTTCATTGGCAAGCTGCGCGAGTACCATGCCAAGCGCGGGACCAACTTTGAGCCGGAGCCCAAGGTGGGGCAGACGCCGGTGGACCTGCTCAAGCTGTTCAAGGTGATTGTCGAGCACGGCGGCTACGACAAGATCAGCGAGGAGAAGCTGGCGTGGCGCAACATGGTCAACGCGCTCGAGCTGTACAGCAACAACGAGGCGTCCGCCGCCTACAGCCTCAAGCTCGCCTACTACAAGAACCTGGCCGCCTACGAGATCACCACCATCCACAAGCAGGAGCCGCCGCCGCCCGAGATCCTCGAGCACATCTCGGCCAAGGGCGGCGGCCTGCTGACGCGCACGCTCGAGAACTTTGGCGGACACCGCGCGACCATGCGGCCGTCGGGCGGCTTCGACTCGCCGATGGGCGGCACCGGCAGCAGCAGCATGGGCGACCCCATGGGCACGCCGACGCGCCAGGACCATGCGGCGGCCGGGCCCGACGGCACGCCGCTGAGTGGCCGCGCGTCACGCGGTCTACGGGAAGCGCCGGCCCAGCGTGTCATTTTCCAGCCGGACACGGCCTCGACGCGCCAGTCACGGCACGCCTCGGGGCAGCAGGCCGGCAGCGGTGCACATGCGGCAGGGCACCACGGCCCGCCGGGCCACCATCACCTGCCAGGAGCACCACAGGGAGCGGCGTCGTTTGGTGGCGGCATGCACCCAAACCAGAACCACCATGGCCTGCCGCCACATCAGCAGCAGCAGCAGCAATTGCTTCACCGCAACGCGTCCATGGTGTACAACCCGCCCAACTCGGACATCTTCTCGTCGGCCGTGCAGGCTTATGAGCCCCGCGGGCCGGTGCCGATTGTGCTGCAGCTCGCCGAGGCGCCGGCCAACGCGCCGGCCAAGTTTCTGCAGCAGAACCGGCTGCAGCGGCTGCAGGCGTCGGGCGTGTCGCTCAGCCGCTTTGCGGCGCGCCCGCCGGTGCCGCCCGGCAGCGAAGGACCTAACATTTACGTGCGGTGCCTGGGCGCGCTGCGGTCAGGCCTGCAGGCGGAGGAGGCTTTTGCGCTGAGCCACCTGGTCAAGATCTCGTACGAGCGGGGCGACAAGTACAAGTTCGAGTCGTTTCCCGGCCTGGCCGAGGGCCTCGTGGAGAAGGCGCTGCAGGTGGGCAGCCTCTTTTACCACGACGTCGCGTGGACGGTGTCGTACGACGCGGACGGCGGCGGCGACGACGCGGACGACGTGGGCGAGCTGGACGGCGTCCACGGCACGCCGGACATTCTGGAGCGCATTGCGCAGCTGCGGCCGCGCGCGCGCATCGACTGCCTCCAGACGGAGGCGTTTGCCGACCAGATGGTGCTCATCACCGAGGCGGCGCTGACGGTGCGCAACATGGTGACGCTGCCGGAGAACGCGTACTTTGTGGCCGACTTTGCGCCATGCCGCGACTTTCTGTGCATCGCGCTGAACCTGCCCGACCGCGACGCCGTGGTCGAGCTCAAGCACTGCGCGCTCGACATTGCCGAGCAGCTGACGCCGTTTCTGGTGCTCGGCGACGACGACCCGCTGTACCGGACGCTGCTGCGGCAGCTGGCGTCGCCGGACCGCGGCATGGTGCTGACGGCGCTGCGGGCGATTGGGCGCATCTCGATGAACCTGGCCGAGACGAACCGGCTCGGCGGCGTGCCGCCGAGCGTGCTGCAGCGCGTGACGCAGTGGCTGCTGCTCAACGACGACGAGCTCATGGACGCCTGCCTCGACTTTTTGTACCAGTACACGGCCGTCGCGGCCAACGTCGAGCGCCTGCTGCGCGCCGTGCGCGCCGAGGGCCTGGTCAGCCACCTCGTGCGGCTGCTGTCGCACGGCGCCAAGCGCAGCGTCAAGGAGCTGGTGCTGCAGCCCGAGCGCAGGCTGCCGGCCGCCGACGAGGTGCTGGCGCTGCCGCCGGACCTGCTGACGCGCCTCGTGGCCACGGACGAGCCCGAGCGCTGCTACACGTGGCTGCGCTGCTTCTTCGAGGAGGACCCGGACTCGTCCATTACGCAGATTGCCATCTGGCAGGCGTACCAGTCGTCGTTTTTGCAGCCCGTGCAGCAGTCCGGGCGCACGATGCTGGGCGCCGCCGAGTTCATCCGCAACGTGACGCACGTCTATCACGCGGCCGGCGCGCAGATCCAAAAGGAGCAGACGCCGCAGGGCGAGGTGCAAAAGTTTATTATCAAGGGCATTCGCCCGCGCCGCCGGCCCATCAGCCCCGAAGGCCAAGAGTTTTTCCGCTGCCAGTGGCGCATGCCGGCGGCGTCGGCGGCCCCCGCGTCTGCCTCCGCCTCCGCCTCCGCCTCCGCGCCCCTCGCCTCGCCGTCATGCGGCATCTTCTTTGGCGCCGCCGACAAGCTGTACGCGCACATCCTCCAGGATCACGTGGGCGAGACACCGGACGCCGACGGCAAGGTGGCCAATGTGAAGGACTGCGATGTGCGCTGCCTGTGGGCGGGCTGCCGCAAGTACCCCAAGGGCACCAAGATGCCGCTGGCGGACTTTATGAAGCACATCAAGACACACGCCGTCCAATCGGAGCAGGACATCCGGCAAAATCAGAAGCAGGTGCAGCAGCCGCAACAACAGGACGCGCCGGCCTCTGCCGAATCCGGCTCGCCCGCCGACGGCAGCAATGGTGCCGCACAGCCGTCCAACCCCCTCAAGCACCAGCGCCAGCGTAGTAGTGTGAGCAACGGCGATTTGCTGGCGACGGGCGGCGCGCCGGGCAGTGGCGGTGCCGGCGGCAGCAGCAGCAGCGGTACAAACGGTGCCGCCTCGACCGGTGCCAACGGCACGCCCAATGGCACGTCACCCAACGGCGGCACCGTGGCCAGCGGCGGTGGTGGCACCGGCGCAGCGGCCACAACGCCCAACAAGCGCCAGAAGCGGTCGTACGTCGTGCCGGCCAAGACCATCAGCGTCGCCTACGAAGAGACGGCCACAATGCGCGACGAGCGCAACCCCAACCTCCCGGCCCAGGCCGCGGGCATCCCGCTCAGTGCCGTGCTCGTCCTGCGCAACATGGCCCGCAACGCGTCCAAGGCCGAGGTCGTCCTCGACGAGCGCGGCCAGGTCGTTTTGTTGGACGACGATGACGAATGGGAGCAGCAGCAGCAGCAGCAGCAACACCACCACCACCAACAAGAACAACAGCACAAGAACAATGGCACGTCCGGCAAGCGCAGCAAGCCATCGCTGCCGGGCACGCCGTCCTCGTCCTCGGGTCTGCTGCCGCCGGCGACGTCGTCCAAGTTCACCGGCGGTGCGGCGGGCGGCGCTCGCCACGCGCACTCGCCTGCCGACGCGGCCGCTGCAGCAGCCGCGCAAGAGGCGGGTGGCTGGAACGAGCGGCTGTTCCGGCCTGTGCTGCCACGGCTGTACGAAATCATGTCCGAGAACCGCGCGCTGGCCACGTACATTGCGTCGCTCTTCCAGCTGATTGGCGAGGATGTGTGATGGTCATGGGTGAATGTGGGCCGAGATGGACCGAACGTGTTGTTCTGAGGAGCTTAATCCGATTTTGTGCTCCTTGTTTTTTTCTGTTTGTTTTTTTGTCTGTTTCTCGTATTTTCTACTTTTTTTTTTCAGTCTCCGTCATTTTGTCATCGTCATTTGGATCGTATGTCTACGTATTGTTGCTGCAAAAGGGTGGGAAAGCGTGGGATGGGAGTTCTACGAGACATTGGCAAAGGGGAACGTTGTCCTTTTTACTTTTGTTTTGACCTTTTTTTTTGTTTCGTCTTTGGCCTGTCAATTGTCCTCGACTTCGGGTTGCCTGTTCCCAAGGTTTTATTCTCTCCTGTCACCTTTTACTCTGATTCCACGTGTACGATTATTCCCAGTCAAAATAAAAGTCTAAGCCTAGAAAAGCGAGCACAAAGGTGTGGACGTGCATGTCACAGAACCGACGAATGCACTGTTTACGGGCAGATTTGTTGACGATCGCTAAATCAGTACCGCGATGCAGGCGTCTCCGCGGACATTTTCTGCGTCCACGTCCGACCGATCGCGTGGTAAATTCAGTCGCAGCGCTGGACGACGGCGCTTGAATCAGATTGTACACAAGAATGGGGCGGCGCCATGGGAAAGGGGAGGACGAAAAAGAATCACTAAAATACCACAAAAAACATCGTGAAGAGGGGCGCTAGAAACACCGGCTTCGTCTTCTCGACGGTGCGGGTTGGCCCGTGGAGGAGGGCGTGCGCATCGTCGCGTTGCAGTCTGGGCAATTCGCAGCTCCCGGGAGCATGGCACCTGGGACGGGAGGATGACTGGCACGGAACTGGCCACAGGTGAATGCCGCAGAGATTGCCGCGCTGTTGTGCCTTATCTCTGTTGTGGTCTTTCACGATCTTTTGCTGATATGGGGTAAACAAGATCGTGAAATGCCAGAAAGGGTCCGGCAAAGGGGGTCTTCGGCCAGGCCTAGGCCCTTGTTCGTGGCGGGTTGGTGGGTGTCAGCGGCCAAAAGGGGCAATTCGGAGAGGGGGCGTGTATCCTGTAAAAGCAGAAACGTGACAAAGCAACGGCAGCGATATCTGAAAAGTTTGTTTTTCGAATCAAAATCCGGGGGAACCTCTGTGGCGACACGACGAGCACCATTCTAATCGACAATCGACAACGACAACGACACCCGGCGAGAAGACAGACTGTGGAGGCAGTTGGGGCAACATGTTGCTTCCTCGCTGTGCCAAATAGAGCCTGTGCTCATCAGCGGCGAACGAGACGAGCTGCCAAAACAACAAAGTCCAACGTCGACCCAACTGCACACGGCAAGATCGACTTTCATAAGAGAGGGCGAGGACGGACGAGAGAGGACGGAGGCCGACTCCGACATCCAAGAGACCGACCGTCGAAGAGAATCGGAACCCTTGGTATCGGAACCCTTGGTCCCATCTGCGAGCCCACTCACCACTCACCATTCTTTACTCGTTGTCATCCTTCTTCATTTTCCTTTTCTCTCCTCACTTTCTTGGAAGGGGTAGGGGAAGGGGGATGTCGTCCTCCCCCAATCTTTGCTTTCGTGCTGCCATGTCCGTTTTCGGTGAAGAGAGCTTCGCCCAGACTAGGACGGGAAAAGAGCGATGGAAGCAATAGATGAAAAACGAAATTTCGCCGCATGATGAGACGATCAGAGCTCCATTGTCTTTACCGTTTCGGTGTTTCCCCCGTGTCTTGTTTGTGGCCCCGTGGACATGATTTGCATTGTGATTCCCCTGCTCCGTGCGTCCTCGCTTCGGTATCTTTTGTTGTCCTTTCTTTTTCGTGTCGTTTCCTTGCGCAATTGCACAGTCGCGTTGCTCTCCAATCTCTCTTTCTTTCGCTGTTTTCTGCCCATTTGGAGAAAATTTGCATTTTTCCTCCCTATCTGGAGGGGGAGTGTGTGATACGCTGTGTTACTGTTGGGTGTGTGTGGTGGAAACTGGGGGTGCCGAGATGCTGAGAGGGGCGTGCAGGAAAAGAGGGGAGGACCAGGAAGATGCCCTCTGTCTCCAGTCAAGGTTGGGAAGGGGTGAGTCGAACGTGTCGAGTAGATTTCTTTCCATCACAGAGACACTGGCCACATTGCGACCAAAGCACAACGACCAAGGTCGTATGACACGCAAAAATGAGGACTGTGATTGTGTGGGGGTCCGATGGCGTATGCTTGACGGGGCCCTTAAGGAAAGATGGATGCTCTGCCGACATCAAACTTCTCGAAGCTTTTCTTTTTGCGACGCTTGCCGAGTTCATCGTGAAGCACCTCCGCTTGCCTGGCCTTCCCTCCGTCTGATATGTGCGTGCCCCCGATTGGGGCAAGCTAATGTTGTCACAGCAAAACGCTCCTCGTGTATGCATGCCTGGCCGAGTGAATCGAGTATGTAATGATGTGTGATTTTGTGTTGTCCTCGCCATCTGTTGTCCCACCTCTCTTCAAGGGAGAAAAACTGCTTATCAGCTAAGGCCACGGAAGGAGTGGACAGAAAGAAAGCAAAACACAAAATTGAAAAGGTGTGAGCTTCGTGGGTGGATGGCGACGCAGAGACGCAGCATCCCCCCCACCCTCAAAAGCACATCCATGAGCTCCGATAAAGCTTTGATTGAATGGGTATCCGAGCTTTTTGCCTGCCCTCCGTCTTCTTGACGCAGCCAATCAGTAGATTGCCTTCCCTATTCAGAGCCAGAGAAAAGGAAGCGGGGGAATGCTCCGTACTGATGTCTCATTTTGTCTGCTTTTTTTTCTCTGCTTTTATTTTTCTCTGCATCCGAGAAGGAAAGGCGAAGAACGGACTTGCAGATGAGTGGTGACAGCCGTTTGTCCCCAGCCCAAAGCGTGCCCGCAAATGCTTCGGCTTCCAAGCGTATTTTGTAGCCCAGTGGCCCCTTCGTCTTTCCATTGCCACAGTGCAGGACACTCCCAGGCTTCACCGGCGGCAGGGTGGGAGCTAACAGGGCAAACAGAGCTCTGGTATGAGTGGGCGTGTCTGGGCAAGGTGGTGGAGGGTCAGATCAGCACTAGCCAAGGGCCTCGAGTGTTCCATGATCTGATTGTGTACTTTTCTTCCTCCTTCTGCCCAACTGTGCTTTGTGACTGGTTTGGCTGCAATGGTCTCCTGTCCAGTCGTTTGGTTCATCCTGGCACATGTTCTGCAATATGCCATTCCACTGCACTATATCCCTTTCCTTCTCAAGAGTTAACAATTTGCGGAGCACAGCAGGGGTAATGCAGCTGGCAGCATTTTTACTGGAGCACAGCTTCCGCTTCGTCTTTCGATCGGGCATTCTCTGTCTGAAAAACATGTTAGCATACGGCTCCTATCCTCTTTTTTCGATATGTGCTGCAAAGGCACAGAAACCAACCGCCGTGCCTGTAGAGCTTGCTCGTATTTCGTGATATTGTTGAGGAATCTGTCTTGGTGCGCCCCGAAGTTGCAATTGACTTGTTCACCGTACTTACCAGAACGGCGGTAAAAATAGCACGGCCGGCGCTGAACTAGCGTCGACCTTGGCGTGACTTGTCACTCGCGCCGTCTGGTTACCCCTTTCTTCTCCTCTGCTCCCTTTTCTTCTTTTCCTTTGCATACCGTCTCCTAAATCGTACTTACACTGACAATCTTCCTTGGTGCCTTGTGATTTCGCGTTGAATTCCTCGAACGGACATACCCCCAATGCAGATGACGGGAGAGCGGGGTGCTGTTTCCTGTCTTTCTTTTCGCATTCCTTGTCATCGGATCATCGCCTCCTGCTGGTTAGCCACTCACCGGGTCCGTCTTGTCCACTGTTGTGTGTGCTTTCCAATTGGTAGCTCCTCCACTTGTTGATTTTTTTCTCTTCACACCGCCTCTTCAGACCAAGACAGGGTGAAATGTGGAAACGTAACACATATTGCATGCCCAAACACCACTGGTTGTGTGAGACCCCATACTGAGAGGTAACTAATTTTGAACACTTGCTTTGGCCTGGTCATCGCGGGGAAGGGCTCCGGGCGGAACAGAGCCGACGTGCAGTAGCTCTCCTGCGCAGCGTAGCGTTGCGGCCCCCTTGCGTTTATCGGGCGAAGTCCATTGTTTTTCCTCCCTTATTTTTTTTAAAAAAAAAATAAACAAAAGGATAGGGGGTGCAGCTTCGTATATTTGTCGTTTCGGTCGTTCCTCCGATGGCCGTGTGGCTCTGTGAGAGATTGCCATTCGTCAGGCGGAGATTGCCATTTGGAGCAGAGGTGTACGAAATATGACAGGATGGGTGTAAGTCAGTGGTTCTTGAGTGCGGTAGAAAACAAAAGCGGAGTCCCGCCCGACTTCGTGGTCTCTCAGGCCAGGTTTCTGTTGAAAATGTCTTCTGTAGAACTATATTCGAGCTTTTGCGTGTAAGTTTCAGAACGCAACGGGGCGAGAAGGGTATTCCTAGCTGGCGGATGTTAACGAATAATGGCCACGACTGTGTGAACTTGTCTTAGCCACCAAAATGCAGATGTCGCCTCTTTCCGCAAGCAAATAAGGCTGATGGTGCCTGTCGGCAAATGTGATACTGACACAAGGTACGCAAGTGTGGCATGGTCTGGCAAGGACAAGCTGTTTGTGGCGCGGACGATTCTTGCCTTCGGATCAAGGAGAGCTTCTGGGGTTGAGGGACACGCCACATAACAAGAGTTAGACCCCGGTGGCCCCGTGTTTTGAGCCTCCTTTGAGCCATTCTGGATTCGCTGTGCAGAACCAGATGCTTGCATCGTGCGTCTCGAACCGTGCGCTGTGCATCGTCCAGTTGTATGCATGTACACCACTTTGCTGCATATCCACACCGCAAAAGGTACACGACATCCTTGTCGTGGTTTTCATGATGTATATTTTTTTTCGCCTCACATGACCCTTATATGCCGGCTTGTAAAATTGCATGGCATCTGCAAGATGCGCCTCCTGCTTCAGGTCCGACTGAGACCCATCGAGCCAAGGATGGTTTGATGTAAGAAAAGGGGCGGA